GGGGGTTCCAACCTCTTTGAAGAAGAGAAGGGTTGGGTTTTTATAGATGAATTCGTATATACGGAGTATATACAAACAGTCTCACTTAAAGTCAATACAAGCACAGTAGCGCACATGGAAATGAGGCTGCTTGATGTGCCGCGTGATCTTGTGTTTGATTCCCCCTCCAGTGTTGGTGTTTTGTCATTTTTTTCTCTCTCAATCAATGGCCGATTCAAAGCAAGAACATAATTGTTGTCCGCCAGTGATTTGCCGAGTAATCAGCTGTGGCGTGATGGTCAAAGCTCTAGTTCTAGTGTTCCACTACCTGTTTTTTATGCTTCATTTTTGTTTATTTCCTTCTTTCCTTCACATCTCTTCCATTTACTTTGGTCCCAAACTTCCATGTTTATTTTCCGTTCTTGAAATTGTTCTCAATGCGTTCAAACGGTCTCAAAATACCTGCAAAACATATAAAACCAAGCATAGGACTGCCCTCCCAAAATAAAACGGAAAATTAACATAAAATGTAAGCATTAATTCAATTGGGACTTAAAACTCCTTCAAAATATGCCTAAAAAGTGTATAAAATATGTGCATATCATGTATAAAAAGAAATGAAAAAAAACTTTAGTGCATTACCTAATAACAAAAAGATAACACTGTAATATTTTATTTTTATTTTTATTTTTGGAAATAAAACTAATCATATGCAAATGAAGCAACTGTTGTGTCTACACATTTGAAAATTCTAAATACAAGTTTTTTTGTGCAGCCTCTCAAGAAGGCCCCAACATATTTGTTTTTAATCTTTCCCAACATATTTCGAATCCTAGGGCCGTTTTTTATGCTTCATTTTTGTTTATTTCCTTCTTTCCTTCACATCTCTTCCATTTACTTTGGTCCCAAACTTCCATGTTTATTTTCCGTTCTTGAAATTGTTCTCAATGCGTTCAAACGGTCTCAAAATACCTGCAAAACATATAAAACCAAGCATAGGACTGCCCTGCCATCAACTGTACAAAAAAAATGGCCTTAGAGCTAGAAAGAATGCATAGCCTTTTGTGCAATGCATAGTTCTTCAATCCCTTTCTGTTAGAATAAGAACAATAAGGGGCTTCATTTGAGCACGATAAACAATTCCCCACATCACCCAGCGGCAAACTGTTGCAGTGGCAATCAACATCACATGCAATGTATTAGTGAAAGGCCCTAAGCCAACAACACACAATAATATAAGTGCACTTTAAAATAGTACTATATATGCACCAATATGTAATGACAAACAACTTCATTTAGCATTAGTGTACTACAAGGATAAATACTTTAATACTCCACTTCTGTGTTTGTATGCATCCTCATCTGGTAAAATTGCATCAATTTTTATTTACTCACTAATGCATATTGTTCAAGTTCATCATCATATAGCATACCGCATCTTGAACACTAACCGTGTTACATCAAAAAGAAATCATAATGCATTTTAGAAGAACCACATTCAAAATGCTAATCACTCATATTGTATCTCAATAAAACATAAGCAAAATCATTGCAAAATCCATGACAAAATTATGAAAATGCAAATTCACACATAAGCGAAATCAAGACAAGCAAATAATCAAAAAAAATATAAGTAAGATCGTGACAGAATCGTAGCGAGTACAATCCAAAAATTATCGAGTACAACCCTATGTGCAAAAATGAGAAAATGCCACATCGCACCCAAATTGCTAATCATTAAATTAGATAAACAAAATCACATCACCCCAAGTAACAAGACTAGAAGTAGTTTGCACCAAAGACATCTTTGGAGCATTTTGTCAAACATTTGGTGTGCAATTTTTTGTGGTATGACTTGAGAAAATCTTGGGGGCATTTTGTTAAACATATCACACTTTACAAATCAAACGATCTGGAGTTTTCAAGATGTGTACTGGAGTGTTATATTATTTCACTAAAATACATATTATGCTTTACAAATTGGTCTAGAGTCTACATAAAATGCATTACAAATATGTTATGATGCACGGAAGAGTCACTATAATGCACTAACGATTTTGAAATCAATTTCAATTCAAATGAATTCTTATCCGACAATAGAATAATATGCAGTAAAAATTATCGAATTGCTTAAGAAATCATACCTGAATCCATACAAAGATTAGAGCAATTTGAATTACTCTAAATGAGCAATTAGGTGTAAAAATTCGACGGCCTCCATTAAAATTCAAATCGCCACACATAAGCAAATTCATATCTATGAAAATCGCAGACATGAATATAGGAAACTGAATCCCTTCGTGCGCGAGAAATCTGGGATTGGAGATGCTTTGCGTTGGACTCAGATTTAATTGACAGGCGCAAAAATGGAAATGCAAAGGACGCATATACCCTGGCGATAAAAGAATCAGGTTGCTAGATCAGACGGTTCTAATTAATTCTTATTTCTTTCACTAGATGTCTTTCTCACTTGAACCAAACTCTATATATATATATATATATATATATATATATATATATATATATATATATATATATATATATATATATATATATATATATTATATTTATATATATATATTTATTTATATATTTATTTATTTATTTATTTATTTATATATGTATATATAGGTCTTATACATTTTAAGGAAGCTTGACATAGAAGACCGAGAGAGAAGATAAGTTTAAGTCTATTAGGCTAAACTAAAAGAAATGGGCTGCACTATTAGGCTACACTAAGAAGACCGAGAGAGAGAAGACTGAGCGCATGCGTTGATTCATTTCTTCCTAGGTCTCCAATGATGGTTTCCTCAACCTTCTCGTAAACAAATCAACATCCAATACAACAACACTATCCCGTTCAGATCTCCTTCTCCTCCCACTTGAATACTGTCCGTCCCAATCCACATCATCTCTGTCATAAAGGTCAACATCTGCAGGGTCGCTCTCCCAGTCATCGACCTAAATGAGAGAACATAAGAGATCCAAATAGATCAATGACTAACAGAAATGAATGTGTAGGCGTTTTATTTGCAAAAATTGAAAAATGGGCATGTGGAAGAAATTGCACTATACTCAATATACAATTTTCGGACAAAGAACACTGGCCCTAGTTGGAGAATCAGTCCATTGAAAATTATGATCTAATAGATTGATCATATTATACTCTGCAGTAACAATTGCACCAGGAAGAGTGGCAATCTCATCTTCAGTTAAGCACCTTCCCCAAAGAAATACATCCATTATCTGCATCTTAGAATTAGCTGCTTCACTATCCGACCTCCCAAATGCGTCAAGATCAATAGGTGGTCGTATACCCACCCAGACCTCTGTTCCTTGCTCCCATACGCAACTACCAGTATGCAGTGGTAGCCCTGTCTGATAGCCATCAAAATTACCATCTAGATAGCAAGATACTTCACCTAAATCAGCATCTACAGTCAATGTAACTATATGCCACCTGCAAAGTAATTTATCTTCGGATCAGGAAAATAAAAATTCAACTTCTAGCCAAGATAAGAGTACAGGAGCAATGAACCACAGTGGTAATCCAACACACCTGATATATTCTTTTTTTAATCCCAGTGGGCAAACCACCAAGTATGGTGGGGTAAGGTCTAGGCAACCCTTACCGAGTATTATTAAGATATCATCGTCACCACAAAGTGAGGGGAGGACCAAACCGAGGCCTAACGCTAGCCCCTCATACGGAAGACAAGCCTTCCAGGGAGTACAAAGGATAAGCAAGGGAAAGGGGGCCTAGAACAGGCTTGACCAAAGCCACAATATGGTCCTAGCTAGAACAACTAGTCTACGGCTTGACCAAAGCCACAATAAGGTCCTGGCTAACAACAACACTACTAGTCTACGGCATGACCAATGCCACAATAAGGTCAAAAACACGACCAAAGTACCACGGCAGACCAAAGAAAGCATATGCTCAAGCAAAACAAACCAATGGTACAAGGAAACCAAGGAACACAAGGGAAATGGATAAACTCCCACGGAGAAATAAGGCCAATCCAAGCCATCCACCTCCCACTACGCAAACCACAAATACCAAGATTAGGAAAAGGTATTATGAGCTCACCCATAGTACCAAAACTTCTCCGTAACCCCAGTATAACCAGTAATGGCTTAAGAATCTTCAAAACCGCAAACACTATCCCCTAGCAAGATAGGAATAGGAAGGTGAGCGCACCCACAATCCAAGTTCTCCATATCCCCAGAGCGATAGGACTGCCTATACACTCCAAAACTGCCAACACAGTTCACACAACGTTATGAGGATGAGGAAGGTGAAAACTCAGGAACACGTTGGATGTCCCACTGACAGAGGATTTGACAATGCTTAGGCAGAGCAAAAATACAATCAAATTCTCCACTTGGATGACGCTGGTTACAACACCATCTAACCAGGAAGTTAGTCACCCTATTAGCATGATTATCACAAATGGTGGCCGTATAAGTACAACAGGATAGTAAAAAGGCAAGTCTGCTCAATTGAGGGCAGGTAAGGATATCAAGTTTTAGAATATTAATGATGCCGAATTAAATCAAGGCGTAGGGCTAGAACGAGAAGAACAACGAAAGAAAGGGAAAGATTGAAACGCTAGGGGAAGAATTCCGCTCTAGGTATAGAAAAAATTCTCAAATAATGATAGTCTGCCTGAATTATGCCCACAAGCCGGGCTATAAATAGCTGAAAAAAACAAAGGGACTGAAACCCTAGAATATGGAAGACAAAACGGGCCTAAGAATAAAAATAAATGGGCTAACTAAAAAATAGGCCAAAGGCCCAAAGACACAAAAATTAAAAAATGAAGGCCTTAATCCTCTCCTGCATCAGTCACCCCGGGTTGGAAAGAACTCGCCCTCGAGTTCACATCATCTTCCTTAGAATCCAAGAAACAAGGAGTTAGGTGCTTCACATTGAAAACATCAGAAGTTTTCAAGTGACTGGGTAGCCGCAATCGGTAAGCATTATCATTGATCTTCTGAACTATCTCGCAGGGTCTAATTTTTCGATCCTTGAGTTTATCATACTCGCCAACAGGGAAGCGATCTTTAGTTAATACAGCCCAAACAAAATCTCCGACATCAAACAGAACTTGACGACGATGTTTGTCCACCTGGGCCTTGTACCGGTTGTTGCTCTCCTCAATCTTACTCCGCACTTGCTCATGAATTTCCTTCAGATGCTCTGCCATCTCCTCGGCTCTAGGATGAAAACGCCCCACACGTGGAATAGGGGCCAAGTCCAGGACCCCTGTCGGGTTCCAATCATAGACAACCTGAAATGGACTCATGCCAGTGGTCCTGCTCGTCGACCTGTTGTAGGCAAATTCTGCTTGAGGAAGAGCTAAGTCCCACTGCTTCGCTTTATTTCCAGCCAAGCAACGAAGGAGGTTGCCCAAACTGCAGTTCTCCCAATCATTGATCTTTGGTTTGCCCTTCTTCTCACGAGATCGCCACATCTGTTCCCACCATGCAGAGGCTCGTCCATGGAGTTTGATAGCCACAAGCTTCACTTTGTCACGATTAGGAACGTCCTTATACTCAAAGATCCGATCCACCTCGTTCAGCTAGTCAATGAAATCATCGGCCTGCAGGGTTCCAGAAAAACTAGGGATTTCCACCTTAAACCCTAGCCCTCCGCGATATTCATCGCGGACGTGAAAATCACGACCGCGAGGTTCGCGATGATACGGGTTCTCGAAGGATGATCGGGAGCCGTGATCTGACTCCTCATGATTATCCAAATCTCGCACTGCCAGGCGCCGTGTGAGTTCCGCGATCTGCTGCCGCATAACCTCGTTCTGCCGCTGTAGATCTGTTATCACCTCCATGTCGTCAAGGTGCTGCTCTCGTCGGGGGGGTTCGTTACCCATAGGTTGCCCACGGCCGCGACCTCATGCACGCACCATTGATGTTGAAGGATGTTCTTCCTTTATTCGTCGAACTGGGCTCTGATACCAACTGACGCCGAATTAAATCAAGGCGTAGGGCTAGAACGAGAAGAACAACGAAAGAAAGGGAAAGATTGAAACGCTAGGGGAAGAATTCCGCTCTAGGTATAGGAAAAATTCTCAAATAATGATAGTCTGCCTGAATTATGCCCACAAGCCGGGCTATAAATAGCTAAAAAAAACAAAGGGACTGAAACCCTAAAAGATGGAAGACAAAACGGGCCTAAGAATAAAAATAAATGGGCTAACTAAAAAATAGGCCAAAGGCCCAAAGACACAAAAATTAAAAAATGAAGGCCTTAATCCTCTCCTGCATCAATTAATAAGGTCATCAAAATCAGCTTCCACCTGTAGTACTTGAAATCCTGCACTTAAGCACCATTGAAGCATTATGACAAGTAACTCAATAGTTCCAACCAACACAGAAGACTGATTAGCTAGCCAATAAGCATATTGAAATATCCCTTTTGAATCACGAGCCATAGCAGTAAGCCCATGGCCATTTGTATCAGAACACAAAGACACATTAATTTTAACCGTATCCACAGGTGGGTTTTGCCAAAGAGATTCCTTGAAATGAAAGGCCTTAGATATATTGCCAGAGAGAGTAAAGATGGCCTTCCAATCATTGATAGAATTCGATAATTTTGGCCATTTATGACACACAGCCTCAACAGCATCCTGCCTCACCTTGAATATAAGTCTAGGCACATTAACCTGTTTCTCCCCAAATTTGAGCGAAGCATAATGAACCCATAATTCCCAAACAATAAAGGCAGGTATACACTGTTTCAATAATTGTCTAACTGTGGGCTTCTTAGAATGAATACGGGACCCCCACCAAATGTCAAGATATTGTTTGATAGTGGTACAGCCATGGTCCATACCAAACAGGTCACAAAAATAATTCCAGACAGCTCTAGCCACATCTCCTTGGGCAAACACATGTTCAGTTGATTCTCTATCAGGTTTAGTACAACAGTAGCATTTAGAAGGGAAAGAATGACCAAACCTGTATAGAATAGTATCCAATGGCAGCTTTCTAAGAT